TCCACGAAAACCTTAGCCACTTTTTTATAAAATCTGTTAAAACCTAAAAAATTCTGCATGGGCTGCATAGCTTATCTCATCAATTTTCTTATTAGGGATATTCATCATTTAAAGGGATAAGCTTGTCCTTCATATAGCTATTTCTCCTGTATGTAATGAGCAAAGCTGGCTCAGAAACTTTGCCTTATTAATGTATCAATTTTCCAGCAGTGAGTTACCTTTGGAACACTTGCTCCAAATTTGATGTAAAGGATTTTGTAAAAAGAAGGGAAAACAAACATTGTGGCAATCTGCAGTTCTCAGAATTCTTTGGTTTGTATGGTTTAAAAGAAATGCTCATATGTTTAAAAACATTTATTTGCTATTGATAGGATTGTGTTTATGGTTACTCTATGGTGCTCTGAACATGGTCTTTGTAAGGGAATCACTATTTCTGACATGCAAATAGATTGTGCTGCTCTTCAACATCTTTAATCTTCTTAATACTACTTTTTATTGTAAAAGAAAATCATTGGAAAGATTTATATATCATCAAAGTTTATATTGCATTAGAAAAAGTAGATATATAAGTCAAAGTAAACTCACTGCAGCATCTTCATATACATTAATGCTAGATACACCACAGCCCTCATAGATGACTCCACCAAGTGAGACAAAACGTTCCTTTACAATTTTTATAAGTTTTACTGGTCTGCAATGGGATTGAAGAAAACCACTAAGATAACATAGCAAAGGGAGAAAAAAGATCTTCATCATGGCAAAATGAATTTTTATTTTTGGTCATGTGCGAGCTTTAAGTGAAAAGTAAAATGCTTATGCATGAGAGAAGCCTAGATTGAATTTTGAAGTCTTCCTTCATGTCCTACCATGACATATGGTAATTGTGATGGCATAGCAAGGATTTTGATTCCAACAACAATCAACTTCTTGTCTTACCCAATAAATCATTTCAAGGTCTTTTTTTATTTTTCTTTTTCTTTTTATTGCATCTTCATAGTGCTACATTGAGATACCTGACTAGTAATCGCATGGCCAACTACCTAACATTTACTTTCTGGCTCATCACATGTGATGTGTTCAACTCGAACAGTAAAGCAAAAAAACTCAATATACTAATTTAACATGACATCATTAAGAAAGGGGCATATACTATTATCATGGAAGACATACTCCCTCCAATCCTTATTATAAGGCACCTTCTAGAAAAGATGGCTGGTCATTATTATAAGTCACTTGATAGGGTATTAATCAAGTTTTTTCAATATTACCTCTATTTAAAGTCATTAATCATGAGAGAGAATGTAATGTAAATAAAAATTTTACATTTAAAGATGGGTAAAATTAAAAATTTATTCTATTTTCAGACAAAGTTAATAACTTAATCACCTCTCATCAATCTTAGTGAGGTGGTTAGAGGTGCCTCATAATAGGGAATATAGGGAGCATGGCGCAACATTTACATCATATTAATTTACTGATTTTCCATTTTTCTGTCCTTTCCTCCTTGAAGAGATTTTCCAAACACACCAAAGGGGAAACTGCTACTGCATAAACTATGGACCTGATAAGATCAGGCTTCAAATGATTTATTCATAAATGAAATCAAGGATGGCAGTTCCTTTCTTAGTTTATTGGTATATAAAATTGTAGCTTATGTATGGGATAAGACTCACGAGACACCAAGATTAAGAATGTCCTCAACCCAGATATCACCTTTCCCTTGAAATCCACATCTATTCTGCAGAATCGATGATATTCCATGCAATAAGTAGAAAAGAAATCAGAAAGACAAACTCTTCAGAGTAAGTAGACAAAGAAGACAGTACAAAGCCAAAATTTAGCATAGTTTTGTTATGCCTCTTGTGAATGATCTTTTGGTAAAAATTGTTGGTGGCTTCATGCTCTTCAAGACAAATAACAGTGAAGCAAGACTTTCAGAAAAACTATGAAAAAGCACCTTTTTTTTGGCCAGGAAACAACATGTGCAGCTTTCAGGGGACCCAACTTTCAACATTAAATTGAGCTGATTCTAATATCAGACATATAAGAAGCAAGTTTTAAACAGAATAATATTCTCTGTCCTAAGTATCCAAAGCATTGAGCTTATGCTTATGCTCCAAAATCTTTTGGTACATTCATGAACAATGAAATGCTGTAAGAAAATAATTTGGGTCGATATAGTGTCTCCCTAATGAAGCCATGGTAGAAATCTCTTCCGTGAAAGTGACTACAACAATAAAACCTGTATTAAGCTATGCCTGAGTAATTGATTCCATAAGTAATAACAGATGAAAAGTCACAGAGTGTATAACAATCATAGAAATATAATAAGCATGGCTAGCTCATTCTTCTTTACTCTTTAAGAACAGAAACAGGTCAAGTTGAAACTGTAAGAGTTCTTGATATCAGGCATGTCTTAGCTGTCACAGAATTTCAATCTGTTATATATGTCTTTGGAGATATAAATTTAAGTGATTTCAAGACTTACCCAAGTTGATTCTTCCTATATTTATAAATATAAAGTCCAAAAAAGACAAAAGGTGTAGGAATTTACAGGGTTGAATTTAACAGCTGTGGCTCTTTCAATATCATCTTCTTCCAGGACTCCAACTTCTACAAGTTCTGAAAGCTCCTTTCTTGATATGTTCCATTCTTGTTCTCTCTAATAATCAGAACAACGCAGACAACTACAAATTAATTGATCAAGCAGAGAATTTCTCAGCAGTAGGAGTAACTTTTAACATACCCCTTTTAGTATATTTCTTTCTACAATGGCAACTCGAAGACCTCTGGCACTCAAGGCTGTGGCAATGAAGATTCCTAGAGTACCTCCACACACTAACACATCGTATGAGTCGTCTTCCTTGCCAGTGAGATCAGATGAGCTAAATGTGCTTGGAATTGTGGAGACAACTTTCTGTGGTTCTTGCACAACTATAATAAAGATTTGAAGATCACAAAACACCCAGAGAATCCTTTAATCATAGGAATAATTGAAATATAAGTGAAACTCTAAAAGAGTAAAGACCAATGAACAAAATAGTTTAACCATAAATACATGATGAGGAAGAACCTGCTTTAGCTGAGCATATGCCAGACCACAGTTGGTCCAATCTTTTCAAGGCTTCATAAGAGTATGCTCCTCCAGCCCCACCAACTTCCCCACTCACTGCAACACTCTCCATTATCCTCTAAAGGAAAAAACAAAACCTTTTGATTCAAAAATGCATATCATTGTCTCAGTTTGACCTTATTCAAGCACCATAAAATGCAATTTGAAATTCTAAAGCACAAACTCCTAACAAAGTCAAATAAAACAGTAAATAAGACTTTCACTTAAGTGTATGTATCTTCATAACTTGCTGTGGCAACGTTTTGAGCATGCAATCCTGGCCATTCGCACAATAAAACTTGTTCAACCACATAGCACAAAATTAAAACATGCCCTTTTGACATTGATAGTATGATGCATTTGGACTCTTACTATCTCATTTTGATTTGATTGTTCTCAGGTGAGAACTTTAGGCAATCGAGGCAGCTGGATAGAGCTGCCAAATAAATAATGTATTGAGTCTTTTTTTTTTTGGTATACTTAATGTATCGAGTCTTTATTTATGTTTATTATAGCTTGTCTTCTGAAAGCAGATAATGGATACTTGTGTTTAACTTTTATCCCAATGTTTCTTTTAGCAATTTTCTATACATATATGTACATATTAGATTAATTTATTTCTTTGATTGAATTTAAACAATTTTTATAGTATGAAACTATTTTTTGATTTCACCTAAAGCACAAAAATTTAAAAATTTAGATGAGGAAGAATTAAAAAATTGCATTAAACCTAAAAAAATTGAAGTTTTAGTGACCATTCAGGTAATAATTATTTTGATTTATTTTCAAACTAAAAAGTATTAAAAGAAGTATAAAAAATTACTTCAATTGAAATATTAAACCACATTAAAAGACAACTTTTTTTCAAATGAAAATATTACATATAAAATATTATTAATATCGAAATGAGTTTTTCATAATTTGCTTGAAGTTTACATGAGTTCAACTGTATTGCAAAGTAGATAAAATTAATGAACCATGTTATGTATTGTATTGCAAAGTAGATAAAATCAATGAATCATATTATTTATTGAAGGTGCAATCTTATAATTTTGATAGTTAATTTTGCAACTTAGAAAGTCTTAAGAAAAATAATATACGGGTTAACAAGTTATATAGATAAGCCCTTTCGAATATTTTTGTCTTATATCAGGACGGGTTGAAACTGGAAAGACATCAAGGTACTGAAATGGATTACTTATTGAACTAGTCAATATGATTAAAACCATTGTCATTTGTGCGAGACTAATCATAAACAAAACATTTTACTAAACCAATTGAAATACTGATTTAATAGCTTACCAATTCAACTAGCTAAATTACCTCAATTTTCAATATTATACTGAAAACTAGAAGCAATGCCTTTTATAGCAAAGTGCAAGCACCAAGTGTTTAATGGAAATTAAGAATTTTCTCTCAAACAACGCAAATTAAGAAATTTTAAAAAAAATTGGAACCTGGGTTCTGGAGGGAACTGCTTGTGTTCTCCAGCGTTGACATCTTCCTGTTCTTCTGCCATTTTTCTGTACCAAAGAACTCGAGACAGCGAACTTGGACACAACATCGATAAGTTGGAAATGAAGCAATACCATATCCCAAATCTCTCTCTCTCTCTCCGTTTTTTTTTTTTTTTAAATAATGAGAGTGATCTAAATCGAAGTAAAGCGATTTGCTCTCACTTTCTTGCTCTTCGTTGTTTTTTATCTGCCAGATATATATGGATATATATCAATTTCTTTTTTTTTTTTTTTGAGCAAAAGGATATATATCAATTTCAGGCAAGAAAAATGCGCACCTGAAGCGGACACGTTTAACGGCTAAAAACTGTCTAAAATTTCTCCTTTTGAGATAAAAAGAAGGTGACCGATAATTCCGGTTCCCGGTGGACAATATATATATATAGGTGACAACTTTTTCCTTTCTAGCGGATGGATAAACCTTGCATACACTCTGGAGGGTTTAGCATTGGCATTGCTCGTCATTCCCAAGTCATTCTTCTTCCTCTAAGCTTTTCAAACAGGTAAAGACGCAAACTTTGTCTCACTTTTCCGTGGTATGTTTCTCTTTCGTACTCCTACGATTTTGTTTTTCCTTGTTCTTCCCTTCTTTTGTTTTGGATGTAAATTTTCTTAGATGTACATAGTGAATAATCCATCAATGGAAGATCTATAATATTCTGCTCTTTAATTTCTGGGCTGCCAATAACCATGTGAGAATGTGTTTTTAGAAGTTTTCTTGTCGTTTCTTCTTCATGCTCTTACGCAACTTCGTTGCTTTGCTAGGTCCTAGACCAGGTCCACGCAAGTTATTAGACTATAAATTTATCTTCCACAGATTGTTTTCCTTTGGCCGAAAATTTTAGATGCAGTGAGGTGTAGGACCTTCTTCACTGTCTTCTTCTATCTTTGATTATTTTCCGGAACAATCTTTGCTTTCATATTAAGCTTTAATTTCACGGCTCAAAAGCAGTAAACAAGCGGTTAATTTATGTTGTATGGTCAAGAATGCATGTTTAAATTAGAGTCTTTCTATGGGCTATCCTTGTAGTATGAAGAAAACAAGGTAGGACTAATAATGGATTTTATAAGAGACCCAGCATCAAAATTTCCCCCCAGAAATCAACTAAAGGCTATGGTATAGTTATTTATGTATTCTTCTTCATAATTAAAATTAACAGGGTTCGCTCATGTCATGTGATTTGATGAAACAGCTATGATTGATTGAAGTGATATCAGTCTCCATCAAAAAGTATAAGACTAAGTAGTTGAGAATTTGTTATTTGTCGCTTCACATTAACATAACTAAGTATTAACACTAGGTGTACTGAGCTTTGTTTTGTTCCAAATGCTTTCTCTTAGAGGGGCATGCATGCTTGCTCTCTCTCAATTCATAGACAACTGCATTTGGTTATGGTACATTACAGAATTACTGGTAACTTACTGTACTTTTCCTTACCAGTTGCTTAAACAATGGTATTGTAAATTAGATAAAACTGCTGTATTATAGACCTGAGAGAATAATGATGATAAACTCGGATTATTGAACTTTAGAATTTATGGATCATCCTATTTCACATGTAAAGCCTTTTGTAGATGTCCCTTGTGGTGGTTGTGAATGAGGAGTTTCACTTTTCAAACTCCTGTCAAGGTCAATTGCTCTTTTTGTAATTGGAATAAACTTTCAACGATCTGGTGACAAATAGCTCTATCTTATATTTGAACTTCCTTTTAACCTGCCAATTAACTACTCTTTCCATCCCAAATTATAAGACAACTTTGGAGGTATTTCGTTATCCCAAAATATAAAACAATTTGGCAAAAATAAGATTTTATTAATTATGCATTTCCAATATTATCCTTAAGCAGGGAGAGAATTGAAATGATTGTAGTGTGATGATTAATTACATATATTAAAAAATTTTATTAAATGGAGGATTTATATTTTTGTTTTGAAAAAGTAAGTTTGTAAAGTGTCATTATTGAGCTTATTGGTATGTGTAATGTTGTCTCAAATTGTCTTATAATGTGGAATGGAGGGAGTATTATATTTGTATCTAAACAAACTGATTCTGGTCATTTGTGCTGTGTTTTCCTCTTGGCCTCAGAACATACCATGTTCTAGCCTGTTTTATGTTATTGTTGAATCTGTTTATATCCATTTTAGTTTTGTTGAAGCTTCAAGAGCTCTCTCTTTGGACAACATTCCTAACCATATTGATAATAATACACAAAAAGAAGCATGTTATACACCCATACTTTAAATTGTTCATCTCATGTGTATTATATCACCGGAGTAGCAGTTCATTTTACGTGCTGGTAGCAAATCAAATTCGATTTAAATGTCTGATATTTGCACTTCCTTTCAACCTGCCAATCAGCTATAACATATGCATCAAAACAAACACTTGAGGATAGTGGGTACTTTGTGCCTTGTGTTTTCCCCTTCAGCCCTAGTGAGTTTTAGATTCTCTTCATTTAATATCGAAGATGTCTCATTTCAAGGAAATCTTCGTCTTTTGTGATTAACGTAGACGATCAAGATTTCTTTTTTGTTAAATTCTTAATAGACATAGGTTGTCTAGATGCTAACTGTCATTTTGCCGTCCAAAATTGAGAGGATGCTTAGGCAGTCTCTTGGAACATATTAGCTTCAGTTTCCTTTTTTGTGTTCTTGTTCAATCTTTTTATATTGGCTAGCTCCAACAGCCACTTCTTGGAATAATACCTGTTTCCTCTCTCACCAGACATACCGAAGCATATAGAAAAAAAAGCTTAATAATTCACATACTCAATAGAGTGTTCTGTCTTGTGTGTATTATCTCACATTGAATAGTATAGAATGCTCAATGAGATATTCAAGTGGGTTGGTTCTTCCATCTCAATAGCTAGTTTTTGGAATAGGGTTGCCCATCCCACTTAGGTATCCATCAATTGGTATCAAAACCAGGTTGTTGTTGGTTTTAGGAAGGGTTAAACATAGAGGGTCTTGGATGGTAGGAAGCCAAGTTAAGTGTCGTGTAGCTGCATAGGATTCCCCATCGCACTTAGATGCCTATAAGCACTACAAATTCATTCCATTATATTCTTAGTCGAAGCTTCAGTTCTTGTTGTCATTGATGATACAAAGTCCAAACTGTACTTTCCTTCATTACATTTCATGAAAAGCCTTCACTAGAAGCTTTTAAATGAAAATGGCCTGTGGTATTAAAAGTTTGGCACTTCTGTATAGCTAAACTCATTTTCTATTGATCTTATTCCAGATTTGAGCCACATAGCAAGTGAAGAACAGATCTCCATACTCTGAAACTGACATGGCAAGTGTGTTCACAAATCCAACCTACACTTATTTTCCTGTGAACAGAAGTACCAACAAAAAATTAGGAAATTCTGGTATGAAAAGATCTCACATAAAGGCCACCCTGAGAGTAGAGAAGCCATTGGAGGAACTGTACAAAGTGAGAGTTGAAAGGAATGTCTCTGCAGAGAGACTTGCAGAGCTGGGGGTGTCGAAATGGTCGGTGTGGAAGACGGGGAAGTGCCGGTTGCCATGGGACTGGCAGGTCGACCAATTGGTGTACATAGAAGAAGGAGAAGTTAGGGTCGTGCCTGAAGGGAGCAAGAAGTTTATGCAGTTTATGGCTGGAGACCTTGTTAGGTACCCGAAATGGTTTGAAGCTGACCTCTGGTTCAATGGTCCTTACCAAGAACGTTATAGTTTTAGAGCTTATGGTGATGATTTTTGATTTTTTGTATGAAGGCTTACCTGGCAAGGAAATGACTATCGAATTTGTGTGGTCTACTCTATTATAACATTCAGTTGAGTGTGCAATATAAAATATTTTATTTATAAACTTCGTTACATTTTTCAGCTAAAATCAAATCTGTCCATTACTTAGGTTGACATATTTTTTTAATGAAGTATGTGGGGAATGTATCGAATCAAAGCATGTTGTAGTGTAAATTGGTGTTAGTTTGTAAGTTGTGATTATATAATAAATAAGAGGTGCATTGTCCTTAATAAACAATTATTTTAATATTACTTCCTCCGTCTTTGTTTACTTGCCCTCGCGGGGAAAAAAAGACAAATCAAGGAGAAAGCGAAATCTATGTACAATGTAAGAATTATTTTTTCTTTTTTCAATTTTGTCCTCTAATGTTACGCTATTTTAAATCTTAATGCCTCCCTTTAATGTCTTCCATCTAACAGGGGTATTATTAAAAATAAGTAGTAATTATACTTTGAAATTCGGAATAGAGCATTTATTTAGGGATAAAACGAAAATGCAAATTAGGACAAGTAAATATTTCATTTGGTCCTTATTATTAGGCATTTTTGGAATAGATAAATGGTCTTTATTATAAGTTATTTGATGAAAATAACAATTAATTTTGTTTCAATATTACCTCCATTTAAAATAGCTACCTAAGTGAGAGAATACAATGCAAATATGAGGATTTTTCAATTTGAGTAAAATTAAAAATTTATTTTATTCTTAAATAAAATTAATATCTTAATTATATTTTCTTGATTTTAATGAGATGGTTAAAAGTGTTTTATAATAGGAATATAATGGCAGGATGAAAGATGTATATTTTAAACTCCTATATTTTTTTTGCATATTTTGCAAAGTATAAGAGCCAAACTGCTACCTTTTTTTTTTTAGCCGTTGTATTTGTTAGTCACTACCCTTACTAATTATTACATCTCATAACTCTTTTATCAAAGTGCAATATGCAAGACATTGTTTCAGGTCTCCTCAACCTTTCAAGTACTTTCCTTGCACCTGATATGGTAGAAAATGAATGAAGCTCTTCATAAGGGAATCATTCCTCATCCCCAAAAGGTAATCAAGGAATTTACAAGCATTGTTCATTATATCACTTATGTTTGCATTTGACCTTCTTGTTTAGTACAACGACCAAATCAATTATCAAATCATGTGCTGCAAAAATCCAATTCTCCTCAGTTTGTGATTAATTGTGATGGCTGGAATGTGTGGTTGAAGAAATTCACTGGGCAACACTTTTTGCTAAGCTTCTATTTGGATGAACAATCAGGAATTTCAAAATATTCTTTGGCAAAAAATAGCTTAATTAGATTTAAGAATATTCAGCCTGACATGCCTTCAGTTGTTACTTTACTAGATTGCTAACAGTAACTTTTCAACCTCTCCTAGCTCTGTCCTCTTGATATCATCTGTGATGATCAAAAGCTTTTGAATAGCCTTCAATAAAGATCTCTCATGATGGAGGCTCTTAACTATGATATTATTTTCTTATATTTTAATAATTCTAGTATTGTACGTAGATCTAGTCTATTGTAGAACTCATTTTATCTTTTTTAAATATATATTGATCTTTTTATTTTAAAAAAAGTAATTTCCCTGCTACTTTTTTCCAAAAAAATCTCGTCATTACTCAGAAACTTGGACGACTTTGACTATACCATTTGTGCTCTAAACCCTTAATCCTAATGAATCATTTAGTATTTACTACTCCCTCCATGTCGAAATACAAGTTTCAAAAGTTGTCACACAGTTTAAGAAATATAATTAATGCATTAAAATATTCATCACTTTACTAAATTTTTCTTAAATTTAATAAAATATATCATATTTTTATGTATTCATTGCATTTTTTAATCCATGTGAAAAAAACTTAAAAGACTAATATAATGAAACTAAGGGAGTATTCTCTCAATTTCTGTATATAAGAGAAACAAGCACTGCTAAACAGCATATTTGCTGTTTTTGTCTCAATGTCATTTTTGTCATTTCAAGATCCTTAAAAACAGCATTTATGGTACATATTAAAAACTAAAATCTCTCAATCTCTCAAGATCCTTACTTGTTTTTGGCGTTGTTTATATTTGCTCTTCTCCTTTTTAATGAATTCTCTCAATGTCATTTCAATTAACGATCAATGTTAAAGATTTTTAATGATGGGACAAAAATACTGTTTTTAAAACTTTCAGGACAAAAATGATCCAAAAACAGCTTAAAATGTTAGACACCTTAAAAAAGAAATTCCAAGACATATTTGCTCTTTAACCATTGATTTTGATAACAATGTTCATGCAATAGTTGAATGTATCACTAATCTTTGATTGAGCAGAGATTCTAATCTCTTGCATAAGTTTCTAGGGAGCATGCTCCACAAAGTTAGATTTATGTAACTCTATCAAAGCTGTTGCTCGCCCTTTTCTTCACCCCAAAAAGGTGAAAAAATCAATAGACTCAACAAATATTCCATTAAGTATAATTAATTAAATAAATAGAACAACTCCATTATACTCTATCAACAAACTCCTTAGATACATCATCCATAATCCATGTCATAAAAGATTGAATAGAGTTTTACATTGATTGTGGATAGTCTAACAAAATTCCCCTTTCTTTATCTTGAGACCCGTTGTGAAACATAGACAGTGTTACCCTAAGGAGAAGAATCCATCATTCCGGCCAGCTGAACCAACCTAGGACAAGACAGCCCATTGATATGGACACCAAGACAACAAAACTTCAAGCATCAAGAAGTAATTTACAATGCCCACATCAAGCACGATTTCGGCTTCCTTGTTAAAGTTCCATGCAAGTGAGTACACGAGAGAATGAGATCTTCAGCTGCAAAAGCCTCATAGCAATGGAATCACCTTCAAAAGTACAGAAACGATAGAATGTGGAAATGATTGCTTTTTTGTATCACTGCACAACGCCAAAAACTAGAAATCTAAACAAGCACTGCCAATTATAAACAAGATCCTTTATGGTACATATTATACAACCCATGGCTGAAGAGCATAAAGGAAGCAGCCGAAAACCCTAGGTAAAAACTTAAAAGGAGAACCCTCCTTCACAAAAGACTCATTCCCAGGTTTCTCTTTCAGCAAAATTATACATGCTAGATACTAACTGAACGATGCATTTACTTTAGTTCTTCATCATGGGATCCGGACTAGCGATTTGCCTCTCTAGTGCCTCGTCACTGCCAATAGTTACTCATTGCTTTGCACTTGAAGTGATGGCAACAGAAGATGCAAACCTTGAAACCAGGACGGCCTCGTTACTGACAACCTTGGCTGCGGCTACGTCTTCCAATTTCTTCCATATGGATTCTCTCTTCTCCTGTTTTTCCCTCTCCTTGATTTCATCTTGTTGGAATTTTATCAAGCACTCATCAAAAAGCGCCTGATCATTGTCTGAAAACATTTTTCTCACATTAAGGGTCAAACTCTGAACTGCTTGGTTCCAATGGCCCCGCGTATTTTTCTCCAAAGCAGGGAAGATTATAGGCAGTATTACTTGGCTGTTTTGTATGATCAAATTGCTAATATGATCATTGTTCCATAGAAACAAAGCCCGTTCTGCTACCTGCCAGCAGAACCAAGTCAACTTCAAATCAGATTTCATCGTGTAAGTCTCAAGTGAATTTAAATTCCATCTCAGCATTTTCCAGCTTTAAGTGAAAAAGAAAATGCATAAAGTGGTGAACATTGCAGTTTGCATATTAAATGAGCCAGTAACACAGAACCCAAAAACCTGAAATCCTTTGTTGTCCCCTAGCAAATTTCACTTCCAAACAAGAATGATGGAAACAGAGCAGAAAAACACTGCAACCACAACTTTCAAGCAGGGTAGAATTATCATTTACTTCAAAGCATTTGAAATTGAATTATTAATAGATAGAAAAATAGAACAATAAAATAAAATCTTCTCCACAGTATGATGGGAAACAGACAATACTTCAAAAATGAAATCAAAAAGACAAATACTGGAACTGATGTTAAAAAAAATACAGAGGCAAATCACTGCAGTGGCAGGGGCGCCCATACACAAAAAGGAAAACATGCAGAAAGATAATACAGTTATATGTATTTGAGATGCTAGCTATCTCCCAAATCCACTGCATAAGTTTTCCCAAAACCACTGCCCACATCCTCCAGTCCTTACAAGCCTTCTTTATAACATGATTATCCAAATTCATTCCCTCTAATAAGGACACATCTACCCTCTTATAGCTGTCATGGCCACACATCATTCTCACACCAGCCACTTTCACTTGCTCCCACACCAATCAAGGGTCCATTGTTACCCAGCCTTTGAAGCTTCCCCTTGCTATCAGGGTGAAAAGTGGATGTTTGGACCGGACCAATGGCTTATTTTCAATAGGACCTTGTACTTGCTTCCCCAGGTACCCCAACCAAGCATTTCTTAAATCCATATCTGATTCCCCAAATCCCAAAAGAAAAAGAAAAAGGAAAAGAAAAGAAAAAAGAAAGAAAGAAACATAGCACAATATGAATTCCCTGTTGTTTTAAGTGTCTTCACGCCATTCAGCTTACTGTTTCCTTGAGTTTGAATGAGCTCATTTAACAACTGCATCATTTAATCCACTTTCTGGCAAAATTTTCCTGAAAAAAATTGAAATTGGAATACGCCCCACATAAGATCGACCAGAAACTCAAGAGTTAGGTCCGTTTCCAAATTCCAGGCTCATCAGGAAGCAACCAAGGTAGATAGTATGCCTTAAGATTTCCCCATTTACCTGCAGAATATTTCTCAACAATCAAAACTAATTTTGAAAATACCTTCTGTTGTTCAATCCATAACCCACCTGTAGCTAAACAGATCAAAATACTCCCTGCAAATGCAGACACTAGGATTATAATCTGAAGAGAACAATATTTGGGCATTAGGATAAAAAAATACTTATGGTGAATTCCTTGAAATACAGAAATTCCTTGCCAACAGCTTCCTCCGTTGTTGCCATTATAAGATTCTTATGATGGCAAAATACTATCCATCCTCAAGAGAATATTCCTTGATGATCCCTACTTTTATTTGGTGAACTGCCCACTCGAACCATAAAGGGCTGCCACAATCAGACCGTGGCAAATTGATTGAATTAGTAACTTTGCGTTAATGATTTTCCAGGAAAACCAATAATTCTTATTTTCTTAATCGCAACCCTAATCCTTTCAAATTTCCAAATCATTAGCTTTAGAAAGTTTACTGCCAGTCTACAGCTGCTCCACCTGCTCGTAACCAAAATAGCTGGAAACACGAGCACCCTCTTTTTATATTATTATTATTATTATTATTATTATTATTTAATGTTTTTGGAAACCATCTCTACCCTATTGTAAACTCCTTTTCATGGCCCCCAACAATAGTAGCTTGTCACAACACCAAATTTGCAAATTCAATTAACACTGCCCAAGATATAGTTCACAGGAATTTCATTGTGTATCACTCTATTTTCCCCTGTTTGAATCACCTTCTCAAGTGAATTTCCCGTGTCATCTTCATCGTGTCCTTCTTCCATGAACAATAGTCTAAGTTGCCAATTCTTGCTAAAATTAGATTTCCCTCCTCCTCTCTACAGACTATGCCCATTTAACTGCATATGATTGAAGGTTTAGATACATAGGATTGATTTGCTAATTGGGCTAAGCTACTGTTGTTGGGTACTCCCTGATAAGGCCACAAAATAAGCGTTCCAAAAATGGACTTCTTCCCCAGTTAACTCACCTAATCTGGTGCAAGAACCATCTACTCCCCTTCCTCCTGCCATCAGAGACTGATGGATGGTCTGATGCTGAAAATGTGATGCTTTTTGCTTCAACTTTTCTCTTACTTGTTCTTCAAAAGGAAACAAATCAACCAAAGCTTCTTGAAAGCCTATCAAAATTTTGAATTTACCTTCTCCGAATTTCATTTTGTTCATCATATGACTAAAACACAATAGTCCCACATACAGTGTGTCCTAGAAACCAAACAAAATGTAAAGAACAACAATATCTACAAGTCCTAAATGTGTACCAAAAATATAAACATTACTCATCCAAAGGATATGCCACTTGATATTTGATAAGGATCAAATAAAGATTTAAAGTTTAGGTAAATAAAAATATATGAAAACAGAAACAGCAACAGTACCAAATATGTGAAGGGCTACAAGTGATATATATATAAGGAGAAATATATTTTGAATAACATTATGATGAAATATAAAATGCAGCAGCAACCTTTTAATAAAATTTAAAAATTTATAAAAAAATTAAAAAACAAAACATTGAGAATAATTCCTCACACAAACAAATTGTCTACTAGAAACCAAATAAAATGCACAAATAATCAATACTGTCTATATGCAAGTCTTAAATGTACACCCAAAATATAAACATTAATGATACAAAGGATATGCCAATTGATAGTTGATAAGGATCAAATAAAGCTTTAAAATTTACAAGCAACAGTACGAAATAAAAAAGGGCTAAAAATCATATAAAAAATATATTTTCGATAAATGAGATATAAAATGAAAAGCAACCTTTTAAAAAAATATAGAAATCTCTAAAAATTTGAAAAACATAACAAAGTGAATAATTCCTCCACCAAGGAATAGAATATATGAGGAAAAAAAATAAGATAATGTATGAGAGAGAAAAAATATATGGAAACAGACACATTCAAAATAGTGAACATGGAATTATTGCTAATTATTAAATAATTATCTTAGAACAAGGAAACTATGGATATAAGTTATAACTTTCATGCAAAATAAATCAAATGGTAATAATAATAATTAGGCTGAGTTAATTATGAGTTTAAACAAAACATGACACGCTAAGTACCATATCACTTGCTAGCAAGCTCATCAGTAATTGCTAATCCACAGAGGAAGTCCAATCTATGCACAAAATTGAGTTTGACATGCAAATGTTTGCACAACTGCCAAGAGAAAAAATGGAATGAAAGATAGAATCATGGAAGAACAAGACAGGCACTAATCCCCACAAGAAGTTCTCAACACAATTTCATTTATTGGAAAACACTAAAAATCAGCCTATTATCATGCTCCAGAAAACATGCAAGAACTAGAAGTAGTCCCATGAGTTAGCTGTGAAGCCAAATATATGTATGAAGTCAATTTTGGGTTTGACACATGGTTGGGCGAGAGCCAGCGAAAAGGAATAAAATACTCGACAAGGCAGATGCTAGGCCCCACAGGAAATTTGTAAAAACAATCGCATCCCCTGAAGATGCTGACATGACAACCACAAAATTGTCGTGCTTGACAAATTAGCCAAGGAATAAAAGTAGTTGCAAAAGTTAGCTTTGATGTCTAATATAGGTAAAAAATTGATCTCATGTCAACAAGGTGATGGGAGAAGGGGAGAAAATAAAATAATCAATAACAATAACGCTAGGCCTGAAGGAGCTGCCAAAACTATATCAATCCCAAGAAAATGCTGGCAACTAGCACATTGTCATGCTCCAGAAAACAGCCAAGAAACACAAGTAGTCCCACGAGTTAGCAGTGAGGTCAGATGGTTTTGGGTTTGATTACTTGAAATGAAGTTGGGAGGAGAAGGAAAGAATAATAAACTCAACATGTAACTCCCAAGTAGCCAAGAGGTTGTCCCACAAATTAGCTGTGCAAAGCGTGTAATCACAAAGAAAAAGGTAGGGAAAGTAATGGAACTTGAGAGAGAGAGATGACATGTAACAGAAATGCTAATTGCAAAGTGGGAAAGTAAAAAGTACCTGAAAATGTAAGCTGTTGAGGCATCTACCAATCTGACGAAATAATGGAACTACACAACGCTGAAATTCTGCTGGCTGGGTGGCCTCTAAGACTTCCTCCAATTCACCAAGGAACATAACCTCCTTCGAGCTATTAGTCACCGGCCAACATTTCAAAAGGCCCCTAATCACAGTATCAGCTAACTTGACATCTTTCTCAACAAACTGAGTAATGCAATAAGAAAGCTGTTGATGATACATTGATACACACTTGGGCTTGTGAAGGGGAATCAGGGCACGGACAAGGAACAATTTATGCTCTTCCTTCAAAGGCAGAGCAAATCCATTAATTATACTGCCCAATATCTCCAGCAACTCTGCAATTCCATTGTGTTTCTCTGTCTCAAATATGAACCGATAAAAGATATTGTTTATAGCTTTTCTAATGAATGGCCGATGTACCATGAACTTTCCATAAATACGGTGGAGGACAGTCTTCAGGTAGTCCCTCTCTCTTTGGTCCTCGGAGTCAAATAAGTCAAGCAATCTCAACACAAATGAATGATCAATATATCTTTTAGCAAGTTTTGCATCAGTCTCTGATGAAGACACAAACCTAAAAAGAAATTCATACACAATTTGCAGATGTGGCCAAGCTGGTTCCAAAGTAGGTTCCTCCTCCTCAACATCATACGTATCTGCTACTTTACTGTCATGATTGGGAGATGGTAAAGTTCGAAATAAATTGGCTGCCACCATCCTTGTGATCTCCTGCATTGCTACTTCATTAAACTTTGAAGATACAGAGGAAACATACTCAACAAGCTCAAGCAAAGTTTGCCGCTTGATGTCCTTCTCTTTAAGATTTTTACCTGGATCACTAAAATCAAATACAACACAACAAATGTTCAACTTTTTAAGGAACAAATTCTGTTTTTCTGAGCTGGGAACATCACGAAAGTTTGGCAATGCCTCATAAACTCCGGGAGCCGTTACATAACCCACTTGTGTTGTAGGGGCTGCAGCTGATTTCTTTTGTTGATTTGTTTTATTTGAACTCGTTGCAAGAGTCCCATTGACAGGCCACAACCCACCGGCACCAGAATTTGAATATTTCGAAGAAGCTGAATTGGATTTCAAGGCACTAATGGAATTGGACCCATTCGAAGAGTTCACAGACAATGCACCATTGACCCCTCCATCACCGTTCGAATCACTGTGGGATGACTTCGAGGCCTTGCGTTTACCGAATATCTGTTTTATCATATCTAGAATACCCAACGCCAGAAATCCCCAATCCTGATCTTCTACAACAGAACGAAAGCTTCTTCTGCCTTGAAAAGGCTTACAATCATTAACATTATCACAATAACCGACTACGTCATATCAAGCGTACGATGCAAACATAACAACCACTCTAATCAGAGACCCATAACTCCAAAAACAAGTCATACTCATGAAATTTCGACAATTCGACGGTATTAGCAGGATAGAAGAACTTACAGTAACGGCACAATTGATAAGACGCAGGAGGGGCAGGAAAAGGAGAGAAAATCAAAGAGAAGAGACCGGAAATCACAGCGCAGGCGCAGGGAAAAAAAAAACCCTAAGGAGAGCAGGAAGCTCTGTATGCGCCTAAATTTGATTAGCTCTCAACAGCAAGTAGTAACAAACGAATAGAATAAATATATAGTGAGTAGAAAAAGAAAAAGCCGAGCTTTTTTGAATTGAAATTGCAAGCCCACGCTCGCCGGGTGAAAAGGGGCGAGAGAAAGACGTAAGCTTTTTTCTTGTTTACGTGAAAAACCATGGATGGGTTGAGTGGAGGTCGAGCATTATCGTAAATGGGACCCAACAGAATCATCACGAATAGTTCTCATTATCTAAAGCATGTGGATTTTAAGGGGCTGACTGTGTCTAATTGAGAGAGTCAATTTTGATCTTCCTGTGACCCGATCAACGATCAACAATACATAAGCGCATTTTGTCATTACAAAATGTTCATCATTCAAATTATTAAAATATTGCTTCTATTTTTAAAATGATAAAAGAAGAAATTGACTTTTAAAACACTAACCTCATATTTTTTTATATAATATTTTCTTTTAATTTTCAAAAATAATATAATATTATCTTTGTTAAAAGTTAACTTTCAACGTAATTTGATTAAAAAATAATTTAAAGATTATAAAAAATGACCAATAAATGACCAATAAACTTTTCTAAGTTATTTTTTGTAATTTATTAATCATTATTTATAATTTGAGATTCTTTATTATAATTTTTTTATCATTTTTTATAATTTTTAAAATATTTTTTAATTATTTTCTGGTCAATTAACGATTAGCTTTAATTTTTATTAACAACAAATGTTAAATTGCAGCCATCTTCCATGCTAACCAAAAAAAGATTGAGTTTGCTCAAAAAAATAAATAATTGAGTGGCAGTTGGGGTAGTGACAAGTAGGGGTGTTCAGCCTAGACCCGTCCCGATTGGCCCGATATCGTCCCGATCATATCAGGATGGGTCTTGTCCCGGCCCAAAAATAATTGGGACAGGACTTTACCGGACGGGACAGAAAAGGGGTTCGGGACGGGACGGGACACGGGATTACCATCGGGACGTCCCGTCCCGTCCCGAATATTATATATATTATTTTTTATTTTAAATATATTAATTATATTAATATAATTTATACTTATATTAATTATATCAATTATAATTTTAATACTTGCAATTCTTATTTAAAACTAAAGTTTTTTTATATTGATAATTTTAATGGCATAAAGTAAACATGACGATATCTTTCTTTATAATATATTAATTATATTAATATAATTTATTCTTATATCTATCTATTTAATAACTTTTATTCATAACATATTTTTTGCTTATTTTTAGAAGAGTAATTAGCTTAATACATCTTCACTAAAGTAGAAGAACAATGATTTGATGTTGTGTTTGACTTGCCTGTTGATGCTAATCTTATAGCATAAAAATCACTTATATTTGTTATTATAATATGTAGTTATGATTAATATAATTCAATAATTAATTTTAAATTATTGTTATTTACGTGCTTGTGTTGTTTTGATTTTAAACTTAATAAATTATATAATTTAAAATTTTAATGAATGTTATTATCCAGATCTTTTTTTGATATTATTTCATTTATCGGGACGGTGGGACGTCCCGATCTTGTCCCGGTCCCGTCCTGACTCTTAACGGATGAGACGACTTTTGGGACGGGACGGGACACGAGACCAAAATTCAGTCCCGATCTTTTTTTCAGGACGGGACACAAGACGGGGGTGTCCCGGTCCCGTGAACACCCCTAGTGACAAGAAGTTCAAATCCTGCCTCATTTAAAAAAAATTAAAAGTAATTTGATATTTCATAATAATAACATAAGATATTTTCAAAAAGTATGATTCATTAAAAAAGTTTATTTCAAAATTATATTTCTTTATTTTTTGGCTAAATTATCTTTCATTATTTCCCTTCTTAAATTTTTTTCTTAGGTGCAAAAAAAAATCTATCATTCTCTCTCCATTATTAAATGAAGTATATTTAAAATTCTTTTCAAGAAAATTAAGATGTCAAATTATATTTAATTGGGCTTTTTTTACCAAAATGCTACATGCAGTAAAAAAATTCCTAAAATGCTATAGCGTGGAAAGTATTTTTCAAAATACTACATCAAAAATCATTCATGGAAAGAATGATTTTAAGGTTCTGAAGAAGTCATTATCACTGGAATGATTTTAGAGTGAAAAATTATTTTTTTATTGCATTAAAAGTGAAATCATTCACTGCCTGAATGATTTCAGTTTATTATTGCTAATTTAACATTTTATTCTTAATTCTTGCATTTTTTTAACACGTTATCATTTTGTGAAAATCTTCAACATAATGCATGTTCACGCGAGAATAAAAAATTCATGCACAATGGCTATAAAAAGGTCTGAAAACATGAAGATGCAATGGCAAAGTTGAAGTCAGATAGTGCAAAACTAGTTTTTCACTGACATACTATACAATATAAAAAAAATACTAAAATATTACACAAAATACTACATTTAAAATCATGTAAGGGGGGAACAATTTTTAAAATTCATCACCGTAAGAACAATTTTTTCAATGTATCAATTTAGTTTCAGGAAAGATTCATGAACTTCAACTACACCTTACAATTGCAATAATAATTTAGTAATCATTTGAACAAAAATGATAAATAATAATTGGTTCTAATATGATTAAGGAATTATTATGAGGTATATTAAATTAAAAATTATTAATAATAAATAAATAATTATTAGGTTTTATGAAAATTCATAAGGAATGGTTAAGTTATATAAATGAAAAGTGAAAATTAATTTACCTCACAAATAGTGACTTTCGGTGCCATATCTTGTTCTTCTTCTCATATGTTGTAGTCGTTGTTCTTGTTGTATGTTTCCCTCTTCTTGAGATTCAAGTGTTTCATTTATCTGTATAGTCAGCATATTTAAGTCAAACCAAGGTAATTCAACTAAAGAAATTGATTGTCGAGGGGTGACATGTGCTTCATTTGATGGTCCACCATGTTCAAAAGTAAAAGTGTTGTATTCAATAAAAAATAATGCAAAATCATCTAGTAAAGACATGAATGATCTAAATTGAGTAAGAGTGGGTGAGTTGAAAAGGAATGATGATGAGGGTGGCATGTAATGAGACTCAAATTGAGTGGGATTGAGAGAGGTGAAAGGAGGTTATGATAATAATAAGGTTGGCATGTAATGAAATTGACTAAAATTTTGAAGCTCTTGTTCCCTTACATTTTCATTTTCAATTGGTGGTTAGGTAGACAAGTAGCCATCATGTCGCTTGCTGGGCCTATCTCGAGAAATTTGTAAATGAGGCAATTCAACTCTTAGTGGAGCAGGTTAGGGGTCCTTATTAAATCGTTGTTTTTTCATTGCAAGCAAGATGTTGTGCTGGTCTTAAGCAACCCTATTTCAATAATCAATACAATAAGAGCCTTCTAAACAAGAATTAATTGTTAGCTTCTATAACTCCTCTGCTATATCAACCTGAAATAAACAATAAGACATAATATTATAACTTTTTTTTTAAAGAAAAAAGGATAGTACAAGTGAAAAATGGTGAAAAACTTACTACATACCCAATATCACTACTAATACGTTGGATCCATCGTCAAGTATGTCTCCAATACCATTGCATGTACTTAGATATTCTATCAAATTCATCAAGTGTTAGAGGAGAATTAATAATAGTAAGCGGCTATGTATCTCATACTTGAATGAATATGGAGTTTTTTGAGTTTAATTTGTAGTCATTATGCCCTATAATTGAATTGTATAGTACTTTCCCAAATGAATAGGTATGGAAGGAATTGGTTACTGACAACCAAATTGTCGTAATACACGATCAGGGTGATGCCATTCTATAATATGAAAACAAATTAGGGGAACTGAGGCAAGCTAGATGTCAGGCATTGCCAAACAATAATTTGGAATTAATTGGCGTACTTCATGAGATTCATATGATTTTCAAATTATCTCGTCATAATTCCTTATATTTATGAGCCAAAATTACTAATCCCTAACTAAATTTTCCAACTTCTTCAAGATTACCAAGAAGTGAAAGGTACATTAACTACATTCGATTACCTGATCTATCTAGCATAAGATATCCACCAATCAACTTGAAGATATATGCATGAGTGAATTGTTAAACTTATACATCATCTGTACTATTGGATAGGTGATTAAAGTTCTCTTCCAACCAATTTATATTTAGACATTGGCCATACATTCTATCTTCATGTAGTCTAATACCAAGATACTATTCACAAACGTTTAGCCAAATATAATTGGTTTGCCCAATGACAAGTGTTCCAACGTATGGAAGGCCCAATTGTATAGCTACATCCTCTAATGTTATAATGCACTCTCCATGTGTAGTATGAAAGGCATGAGTCTCAGGACACCACCTCTCAACAAATGCTAAGGCTAAACTTCAATCATAATCAAATTGTCCTATTCAAGCAACACCATAAAATCCAACTAGTATAAAATATTCAATTATTTGACTGGGAGGCTCAATCATTCGATTAGTATGCATAACTCGTCTAGTGTGTAGGATCCTACTAACCTACAAAGGAAAATAAAAGATGTCAATATTGAAGCATAGCATTTATAATCTATCAAAGGAAAATAAAAGATGTCAATATTAAAGCATAGCATTTATAATCTATCATAAACAAATTTTCTTACATTATTATTCTATACTTGCTGTGAAATATGTTGGGGTTATAAGTACAAAAGGGAGTTATCCTCCAGACTAAGGTTAATGACCTCTTTTGGAAATTGTGCCATTTTTAGATGTGTCAGCATAATTTAAAGAGAAATGTCCAGATAATAAAAAATTCTAACCAAATATAGTTTCATCTTATTAAAAAACCATAATATTAATTTAAAAAAAATCAAATACATGTATTTATTGTCTAGATGCCACACTTTGTGGACAAGTAGAGTGATTGTGACCAATTTGTCGACATAATCCACACTTGTTAGGTAGATTGGGTGTGGTCCAATCTATCTCATTATGTATGAGACTAGAATGAGGATGACTTTTCACCCTCATCGTTGATGGATCAGGTATTAGAGTAGGACAATAAATTTGCACCCAGTGAGTCTTATCTCCTATTGGTTGGAATTGATTACTATAAGCTATTTGTATAGTTTCCAACCTAAAAACTGAATCCACATATTGGAAATGGTCAATGCCTACTCGTGCACAAGCAGTAATGGCATGCATACATGGATACTTTTTTACTTGAAACTCTCCAC